TTCCTGCCTGAAAGGTTTCGGACCTCCAGTTTCTAGAAGAATGTCTGCCCTTTAGGTCGTATATTCCTTGCACACACATGTACCTACCGTGACCTAAACAAGTAAGTGGGAATGACAACACAATTTTTATCGTATCTCAGGTGGGTACCCAAACCTCAAAATGACAGTGGCATTCCCATTATTTTCCCAGTGAATTTGTCATTACTTTGCCTGGTAAAAAACAGCGTCAACAGGGGTTTTCTCTAGCCTTCTAATTATTGAAAATTTAGGACACTTTCCTAGGCATTAGTTAGAGCAGCACTGAATTTCTTCAGGCAGCCCTTCAGTTTCCCACTAACTTGGCAAATGTTTCCCCAAAAAGCTGTTTTGCAAAAGGGGAAGCATTCTCTTTCTATTACAGAAGTTTTTGAAGGTAAAAACAGTCATGGTTGAACACTTGAAAAGTTTCAAGCGAGGCTGAGAATTTTGATGGTAATGCGTCCTTTAGTGAATGCCAAGGTTTAAGGCATATTCCTATTTCCTGTTCATCTTGTCAAACTTGTTGACGCAAGTCTACTTTTTGCTGGTGAACCCTGTTACAATTCTCTCTCTCTCCCTGGACATTCTGCGGGGAGCACGCAGCAAAGAGCTGCCTGAAATGTATGAAAAAAAAAAAAGGTGAAGTATTTTTTGGATCTGATCCAAAGCTTTCTCAAAGGCTTGGCCAAGCTTGTAGAATAAAATTCTGCAGGGAAGGACCTCTGCATGTCTCTCTCTCCACTGTACCTGCACATGGGTACATCTTGTCTCATCTAAAATAAACTGTATGCAAGTATACAAACCCACTCCCAACAGCTCCTGCGAAGTGAACAAAAGAGATAATGAAGAACACATGACAAATGCTAATGAGCCTACCCCTTCAAAGAGCTCACACAATAGTGTGATGACAGTGAAATAAATATCTCTACTGAATAACTGTTTACAGGCAAGAAGGCTAACCCCAATTACTTGATGAGATGTAAAGATTTGCCCAAAACATGTCAAATTTTGCGTCATACATTCACTCCCCTCTGCTTCAGAGCTAAAATACATTTTAAAATGTTACCATAACATACCCCAAGAATCTGACTGAATAACAAAGCATAGAGTGGACTGACTGCTCCATTCACAGCTGCTGCCAGAGATCCAAGCACCATGTATGGCCATTCCGAGGCATTGTATTTCAAAATTCTGGTAAATGGTACAGGCTTGACATCTTCCTCCACAACAGATTCCTGAGAAAACAGGTTGGATTTAGGAAGGGCATGCATTCCCCAAGTGATTTTTTCCTTTGAAAGTGAGATAAAATAGTTAGCATAGTCTGTTAAATGGCCATCTAGTGCCCAAACAGCTGCTCTAGCTTTGTACAGGAAGGGGCAATGGTGGGTCTTGGCTGCTGTCTGGAGCTCTTTTGTAGGGCTAGGAAGTCATGAGAGGGTTACATAAATCATAGAATCATAGAATCATTAGGTTGGAATAGACCTCTAAGATCATCAAGCCCGACCATTGACCTAACACCACCATGCCCACTAAACCATGTCTACAAGTGCCATATCAGCATGTTTTTTGAATGCTCCCAGGGATGGTGACTCCACCACTTCCCAAG